AAAAGCACATATTTTGTGTATTACGGTTCCGCAATAGTTCACTTAACATATATGTTTGTGTATTTATATCTAAGTGTAATAAAACTACCCATAAAAATATATTTTTTACAAAGCTTAACTATATTCTTCGACAGGGCTCCATGAATTTGAAAAAAACTGTTATACGCTTCTTTGACACCTTTTGATGTAATATAACTTTTAAAAAGGTTTTTATGAAACCATGATGCGCGAAGTGAAACTTTTAAAAAGTCCTCCCTCGGCTGGGATTTGAACCCGGGCCGGCCGCGTGGCAGGCTAGCTATCCCACGGAACCACCGATGCTTATTTTTTTAATAAAAATCTAGTATGTAATGCACCATGCCTAAAGATTAACGAAAAACATTGTAGCGATGTAATTAATAAAAGTTTGACTTTAAAACTTGCTCATTATAGATACTGGTTTTTTAATTAAAAACTCTTGTATACTTACTTTAATACCATTTCAACGAATTTTAGGGTAAAATAAATTACTAGGTACATTTGGAAACCGCAAGCCGCAACCCTATTATGGTTAAAATTAATTTGAAATCTTACAACATTCGGCAGATGATTTTTTTATTCCGTACTGGGAACTCAGCAAAATACACTAGTTAATCGCAACATTGGTATTCTAGCATCGAACCTATCGATTTGTGAACGATTTAATTACATATTTCGATAGAACGGGAACAGCTTTTTCGTGGTTGCGTTCGTGTTATTATTTTGTTCAAAATTCAAAAATATTGAATATTCAATATCGTATATTCAGTCTAGGCTGTTTGTTAGAAGCACAGATGAATGTCAAAAAGCTACACCATCGGTTCGCAAATCTGCGACGGTAGATTTGTGCTGAGATGAACCAGCAAGAAACTCAGTAAGGATTTTGCGAAAACGCAAGTTGCGTCATTAAGACTGCGAAAAGAATCGTTGGCATATTATAAATAAGAACTCTGATTGGCCGGTCGTGTGATTGTGTTTTTGTAAGCGAGTTAGCAGTTTTTTATTTAATATGTCTATGTGTGGGGTTGCTATTAGAGAAATAATGCGAAACATGCAGAGGTGTGTCTGTGTAGAGAACTATAGGTAAAATAGAATTTAAACAGAATCGGAAAGTAAATTTTGAGGTTAAGTCCGATAAAAAAATATGCGACAGAGGACTACGAAAATTTTACAGTAATAAATAAGACAAAAATATTAAACCAGAATATATTAAAAAAACGAATAAATAGTGTGATTGCTTCAATAGAAGGCTTTAACCATTGTAGTGGACTGTATAAATGATACTCTTCGACGTTTCCAATCTCTATATATATTTATATATATAACTCAAAGGTGGCTGACTGAAATAGTGATCTATCAACGCACAGCCCAAACCACTGGACGGATCAGGCTGAAATTTGGCATGCAGGTAGGTGTTATGACGTAGGCATCCGCTAAGAAAGGATTTTGATCAATTCTACCCCCAAGGGTTAAAATAGGGAATGAAAGTTTGTATGTAACTTTGTCAATTTTAAACCGATCGGGCTGAGACTGCATGCAGGTATAAGAAGAATCATAGATAAATGTCATTGTGTATAATACAAGCCTGAGAACAAAAACTGTAGTATACACTTCAGCTCTACACCGAAGCGAAGCGAGGGCGGGCCGCTAGTTTTCTGCTGTTTCTTGTTCCTTATTTTTCTTAGTTAGTAGTAGTAGCTTAGCTAGCTAGTGTACATCCGTCGATGGTTCACTGACCCTGACCATCAAAAACTGACGACTTAAATAGGTTATCCGAATATAGATTATCCAATTGAACCCCTTTATTTAATTGATACTCCGAAAAAACAATTGACTTTTTTCTCCTCTGTTAATCATATGAATTTGGCTCATTTTGTCAAAAATGAAAAATAGCTTGACCAGTATTTTTTTAGGCAAACCATTTTTTACATATTTACTAATATACTTAACTAGCTAACACAGCGAACTTCGTATCGCCATAAAAATATGGGTGGTAGAGGGGTGAAAATTAAGGGTTGTATGTGTTTTTAATATTACGATACATATTTTAACGTAGTTTTTTTTTTCTTCAGACGATTTAATAATTATTTTGAACGCAAAATCGGTTATTGTGATTAAACCATGATAGCTAGATATATGTTCTCGCGGACTTTTTTGTAGGTCTTAATGGGATCTACAAACCCGTAGTACATCATTTTGTTCTATTGTCAATAGTTTTTGCAGCGCACGCAAAAATAGATTTTCGGATTTACACCTTGTGTTACAAAATAGCAATATAATTACGGATCCCTAATTTTGAAAAATGGACTACCCAACACTGAAAGAATCATTCAAATCGGACCATTAGTTCCAGAGATTAGCGCGTTCAAACAAACAAACAAACAAACTCTGCAGCTTTATAATATTAGTTTAGATTCGTAAAAAATAAGTTTCATTCTATTATCAGCTCGGTGAAGGTCGATGTAGGCTCGGATCTTAGACTATAAAACTAACTTTGTCCAATTACATTTTCCATAGATTTCAACGACTCAACGACATTTCAATAACTGAATCTTGTATACAGACCACGGTGGACGGCAGCGGCAGCCGAGGTATTAGTATTACGCATCCATAACTCAAACCAAACACAAAGGCTGTCTTTGAACTGAATAGCGGCTATTATGACCCGAAGACAAAAGTCTGTTTCCGCTTGTTCTGTAACCGCTGCTTAAACAAGCTGATTTATGCTTTAAATACTATAGCAAGGTGTACTATTATATGAAGTAAAATTTCCAAAATTAATATCTTCTCGGGGAAAGAGATTTTGCGAAAGGTAAAGGATCTTAATGTCTGCCTAAGTGACTTCATAAATAACTCATCATCATCATCATCAGCCTATTAATGTCCCCACTGCTGGGGCACAGGCATCCCTATGGATAGAATTGGGAGATTGAGCCATGACCCACCACGCGGGCGTGCGGATTGGCGGGTGCTAACGACAGCAGATGCAGCCGGGATCAACGGCTTAACGTGCCTTCCGAAGCACGGAGGAACTCGAGATAGTAAATTTTTGATCACCCATCCAATGACCGACACGCTAACCACTTGCACCATCGAGCTCCTTAATAAATGACTATATATACCTATATATATCTTATATATATATATATATATATTTTCTCTGCACCTTCTTTCCGGTTGACTGGTAGAGAATGCCATACTGGCATTAAGTCCGCCATTTGCATTGTAAAGGCAATAAAGATTAAATAAATAAATAAAATTCTCGTGTCACAATGTTAGTTACCATACTCCTCTGAAACAGCTTGACCGATTTTTATGAAACTTTATATGCATATTCAGTAGGTCTGAGAATCGGCTACTATCTATTTTTCATACCCCTAAGTGATAAGGGTTGTTCACCCCTAACATTTTTTTAGATTTTGGTTTATTTTTTTAATTTTTTTATAATGTGCTCTAAATTTTCACTCTTCTACCACCCATATTTTTATGGCGATACGAAGTTCGCTGGGTCAGCTAGTATATATATATATATATATTTAAGGATAGTAGATAGATTGGTTGCGCCTTTGGTATGTGATCGTGGAAGTCAGGTAATTTTCATAATGACCGGTCATTATGATGAAACCAAAAATGTATTATCTCAAGCTCATGCGTGCTACGCAATGTACGTTATACCATTATTATTATCAACGCCCTCCATAGCTCGAGTGGTATGTACGCCGGTTTTCAAGGTGTAGCCTTCTCTCGGGTTCGAATCCCGGTAGGGCAAATTTAAATATGCTGAATTTTAAGAAATATCATTTTTTTTCTTTGTTAGGTTTTCACGCACATCACCCATTGAATAAAACTTAACGGAATAGTTTTAACTGATTAATCCACGAACTTTATTTATTTATTGAAGTTTCGTATATATCATTTTATTGAGACACATAAACATAGACGCAAAGGAATGTATTCCTTGTTGAAAGGAAATGTAAATATAAAAAGGACTGGCTTTAGGAGTGCATGTATTATTTATAAAGGAATTGACTGCACGCTTGGCAAATGCTGAACTGAATTTTGCAAATAATCAGACGTATGTTCAAAGGTTATAATGAAAGCACATACCTAATCAATAAAACATCATTGGGACAGTAAGAGGTATTGTAGGAAGGCCAAAGGCGAAGATCTTCCTCCGAGCTGGGTGATGTTAGCTCGGGGGCCGCGGCCCGACTGATATTAGTCGGGCATCGTATATATGAAGAGTTAACCTCCGAATTTCATTTGCGCGATGTAGGCTTCCATACTATTAAGATCGCAGTGCAGGTAACGCCATCTCTTGAGGATGGTGGGTAATGATTTCCTCCATCCGTTGTATATATGTGGGGCATATAGATGTCGCCGCCACAGTATTCCCAATCTGCTGCTTCCGCAATCACTACAATACTTTTATAGGAATTCGTACCTAAGTCATGGATATATCTTATATATGAAATTCTCGTGTCACAATTTTAGTTACCATACTGCTCCGAAACGGCCTGACCGATTTTTATGAAATTTTATATGCATGTTCCGTGGGTCTGAGAATCGGCTACTATCTATTTTTCATATCCTTAAGTGATAATAGTTTTCCACCTGTAACGTAAAGTTCTGAAACCTACAATGCCCCTTCGCGCCAAAATTCAAACTATTGGGTATTGTAACGTAGTGTTCTCATATGGGTTAGGAGGAATGTTATATCAGGAAATTGATAGAACACTACCTTACACACCCCTATCAAAAAAATACAACCCTAAATTTTCTCTTCTACCACCTACCCCTATTTTTATGGCGGTACGAAGTTCGCTAGGTCAGCTAGTATGTATATATATTTCTATATAAATATACTTTATATATGTATTTAATCCTATACGCTCTAGTATCCCATACCACAAGTCATTGCTTGTTTTGCTTTGATAACAGCTGAGAACGTTAGAAATAAAAATAGAAGAAAAATTCCTTACCTGTCCTACTGACCAGGACTAAAACGCACACCCCTGCTAGGAGCGCCGTCATGTTTAGTTCACGTGACCATGCATAATCTTCTCATGCTCCGCGACCCGTTGAATTCTCCGCACCTGGGAACAAAGGAAACCACTTTAAATCTTTACGTGCAAACTCTTTATTGAGTCACATAGGTGGCGCTTAACAGACATAAGTGAAACTCCTCAAATTAATTGCTCGAAGTTGCACCGTAGCGTCTCGACAGAAATTAGTCTTTATTGGAAACGAATGGAGTCGCATTTAGACAGAGACGCTCGTGGATCGTGTCAAGTTGTAAAAGTTCACATGCGAGTTTGTCAAACAATGTTACCGTGTGAAACGAACTTTATATTTTAGGTACCTATAGGGGTCTTCTTCCTATTGTCACGGGTGAAATATTGCGCACGTTTTCCCTATTTACATGTCGAGTGTTTTCCGAGTTGCGGGTTTTATCAAATTAACTCGGCAAGTATACGCCTTTAAAAATTATGATTACGGAAATGTAGTAACTTAACACTGTAAGTAATGTATTAGAATTGATTTCTTTCGCATTGAAACCTCGAGTGAGCGAGGAGCTCTATGGCGTTAAGCTAAGCAACTTTCGCAATATTCGGTCATTGGATGGGTAACCAAAAATTTTCTATCTCGAGCTCCTCCGTGCTTCGGAAGGCACGTTAAGCCGTTGGTCCCGGCTGCATCTGCAGTCGTTAGCACCCGCTAATCCGCACTGGCTCCGCTTGGTTGGGTTGGGTCATGGCCCAATCTCCCTATTCCATCCATAGGAAAAGCTTGTGCCCCAGCAGTGGGGATATTAAGAGAATAGAATATATTAAAAGAATTCAATCATTCGAGAACGGTTGTATAAAAATAAACATTGCCCGCCTCCCCTCTTAAGCATATATACTAATGATTGGATTGTGATGAATATTTGGTGATAGCAGAAAATCGGTGTTTTGCCTTAAAACAGGCCAATGTTAAGCCGAGCCTTGGCCTTTTGCTCTCTGCAGCATGGGGTATTTATGGCTGATTTCTTGTTTGTTGTAGAAAATAATAAATGTATTATCTATCTATCATCTTTTTGATGTAAGATCTACTGGACACTTCGAAAAAGCAGCATGTCTCAACATTAATTACATTACAGGCTACCTTTAAAGGCTACGAAACGTCAATAAATAAATAAAGTTTCGTGCATTAACCCGTAAAAAACTAGTTTTATTTAATGAGTGATGTGCGTGAAAACCTAAGAAACAAATATATTAATTAAATTATATTTTTTAAACTAATATCCAGCGGAATCGTATCGGGTAAATTGAAATGGCTCTTAATGTCGTAGATATCCCATCTTCGTTCTAGCGACAACGGGGCTAATCTATTTCCTGCGATATAAAGACTGCAGTTGTCTGCTTATAAATTGGATCTGCTGGTTCGTATTAAAGGTTTTTAATAGGGTACGTGAAGTGGTTGTGCTGAATAGACAAGGGGAGTTTTAGAAAGGTTTTTGTCAAGTCTCCTCTTAGTAGGTAATAATTACAGAATTCTCATTATTATAAATATACTAGCTGACCCAGCGAACTTCGTACCGCCATAAAAAAGTAAGGGTTGGTGGTAGAAGGGTGAAAAGTGAATCTAAACCATTCTCAGATCCCCTTGAACACACACAAAAAATTTCATCAAAATCGGTCCAGTCGTTTAAGAGAAGTTCAGTGACATACACACTCACAGAAGAATTATATATATAAAGATTAACATCAAGCAGGTATGTTGTATATAATCATTCTAAATAATTAAATAATTTATGAAGCTGAAGTGGCAGTGGGCTAGCCATATTTGCCGAAGAACCGATAACCGTTGGGGTAGACGAGTTCTGGAGTGGAGACCGCGTCTAGGCAAACGTAGTGTAGGACGTCCTCAGGCACGGTGGAGTGACGATTTGCGCAAGGTCGCTGGCAGGAGCTGGATGCGAGTAGCCCAAAATCGATCTAAGTGGCGTGCAATTGGAGAGGCCTATGTCCAGCAGTGGACTAGGATAGGCTGTTGATGATGATGATGATTGATGAAATAATTTATTCTATTTATTTCGGAAAAGTATAAGATTCATGTGGGATTTTACGTTTGTAAACCACCATGACATAGGAAGAAATTGTTCAAGCTCATCAAAGAATTCAATACATTTTCCAGTGCTTGAATTTAAATCAAGATCTTTGGTACAAATAGGGATACAAGGAACTTCAAGCACCAAGCAGTCGTCCAGCAACCGATTCTTAATAAGATCAGCAGTGCTGTTATAGTGCACTTTACGAAACATATTTATACTAACGTTGTAGGTTTCAATGCATCATCATCATCAGCCTATTCATGTCCGCACTGCTGGGGCACAGGCCTTCCCTATGGATGGAATAGGGAGATTGGGCCGTGACCCACCGCGCGGGCCCGGTGCGAATTGGCGGGTGCGACTGCAGATGCAGCCGGGACCAATGGATTGACGTGCCTTCGAAGCACGGAGGACCTCGAGATATAAGATTTTTGTTCACCCATCCAATGACCGACCACTACGAAAGTTGCTTAACTTAACGCCGTCGAGCTTCTCGCTCAGTCGAGGTTTCAATGCGAAAGAAATCAATTCTAATACATTACAGTGTTAAGTTACCACATTTCCGTAATTATTTAAATCCGTATATTGAAATATATGAAAAGATTGAAATTTATTTAAATCCTTCTTTTAATTTAAGAACACAAATTTAAAATAAAGGAGACCCGGCACTTTTCATAGAAAAAATGCTAAACTTATATACAGTTGAATTTGGTCTCAAAATAAAGCCAAAATTATTTGCTACATTAAACTACTTTTGCCTTATTTTTAGTGAATCGTGGAAAGAAGTTATTTAATGATTAATATTTTTTGATATAGAAACCCTTTTGATGACAAACCTACGTATTTGACATTGACAGCTAGCTGCTGATGACAAATATTGCCAGACTACGTTACCCCATTATGAAACACAGATAAAAAAAATAAAAAAGTATACAACTTTGGCACAAAATGCCGGGTGTCCTTTAAATGACACTAGCAAATTTCGCGGTGAAAAGTGAGTTTCTTTATACAGAATACCACGACAGATTACTTTGATACCAACTTTTCAGTGATCTGCATTTGCATTGCACTAAATCTTTGATCCATGCCTTTTTAAATAAGACCACGTTGAAAAAGATTTCATTTCAAATCGCTTTCTTTTGATTGCCGACCTTTTAATTTGCTCGGAAGAAAGTTTATCAGATGAATAAGTTTGATCAGTGCCTTCAAACACCAACCTCCAAAAGTAAGATTAAGTTAGATTTGTTATAATGGACTTTTCAAATTATGTTGGAAAGTGGTGAAGGGAAGTTTTCGAAAGCTATGGTCACTGATATTGATTGCAATAACTTATGTTTTGAGAAACGGAAATGTAACGTCTAATTTTTATTTAGTGAAGCTGTTTTAGGTCACAAAAATAGCATTTATGCATATTCAATCATTTACATTATTAATCAGACAAACTTATAAAAAATACGTGTGGCACTCGAGGCTAGGCTAAAGCTATTGCATTGCATTTTTTATAAACTTATGCAATTATAATTGTTTATTTACTAGCGGCCGCTCGCGACTTCGTACGCGTGGAGTTAAGCCAGAAACATATTAACGTGTCGTGTCGTGTCGTGGCGCGCCAGAAGCACATCGGTTTCATACATTTACTATGGTTAGAGACATATTTTTACGTATCGTGTCGTGTCGACGCTTTAACCTCTCTATCTCTCTCTAACCCATAATAAATGTATGAAACCGATGCGCCACGTCACGCTACGACACGTTAATATGTTTCTGGCTTTAGTTATTTGCACCTATATAACCCCTTTTACACATAAATAATATAAATATAAATTTAACACATACTTTTATAACCCCAAAAGGGGGTTTATTTCTAAAGACACATTATTAATACACCTCTACACCATCTATAGAGCATACATTTTAAATTTCAAGTCTCTTACTTCAAAAACATAGAATAGGGTGTAATTTAAATGATGATATTGTATCTATACATCAGGCAGTCCTCGAGTGCCACACGTATCTACTCCCCCTTTTTTATGGATATTTCTGTAGTATGTCCTTGGTGGGTGGCATGTATAAGATTTATAACTACAGTTATATACCAATAAATAAATGTAAATATATAGAAATAATATAAATGTAAAACGATAAAAATAAATAAGTAAAAAACAAACTAAAATATTAATTTAGTTTATAACGCCTGTCATAGATGGCGCTAAGTTATTGTGAATTACGGTATGGTTTTATTTCGGTGTTTAGGTAAGTATTCTTTTTTCTTTCCATATTCATTATATCATCATTTTTCTTTTCATATTTATTTATTGTACTAAATAGAGAGAAAAAAAAACTTATAGTTAGGTAGATAGGGGAACCACTCGATTATTGGCATTGGCACTAGTCCTATTATTGGCACTTTTGAGTTTAATACGAAAAAAACAAGGAGACAATAGATAATACAATACGAAAGTTGAAAAAAATATCGATATATCGATGCATCGATCTTTTAAAAAATATCAATATCGGCTTCGATATATCGCGAAAAAAACATCGATATATCGGACCAGTTTTCCCAAAAATATCGTACAGTAGCTCACGAAATATGACACGGGGAATAATAATGGAACGAAAATTATCTCCCTAAAAATAGACCCTATTTTCGAATGACATAGACAATACTAAATACAGCACAGATCACAGATGTGTTGTATATCGTTAATCTGAGATCGTGATATGCCGCTAATAATTAAAAAAATATCGTTTTTGATACGAATGTCGATATTGGTTATTTTGCATCGATGTATCGATATATCGAATCAAAATATATCGGCAAAAAATATCGATATATCGACCAAAAAATATCGATATATCGATACATCGATATATTTTCAACAAGCCTAGGTCGTTACATATTAAGAAGAAAAACCTAGTATGGTTTCGAAATTAGAAAATTGGCAGCATTATTCCTTTAATCTATTGTTTCCTGGTTTTTTCGAACTAAACTCAA